TTTCCTTTCCTTAAATTGCATATGCAAGATAGTTTGACTTGGTGTTTGTATACTTTTACTTGTTACAGAGATGGTCGACGAACCGAACGTTGTAATAACCGGTGCAAACTGCATATTAACGTGCATACACGGCTGCAAGTTTAGGTTCTAAACTGCAGTATTCATTCCATTTCCGTAACATAGATGCTGACTTCCGGTCGTCTGGTAGTACAGCGATAGGCGGGTGCAGAAACGGTTGCAATTTTAGAGATATTTGTATGTCGAATTTTAGAAACTGTCCAATTGCGTACATATATTAAAGTTCTCCCATCCAAGTGGCGAGCAATCAAAGTTCAGTTTTTATGGCTCATACAAATACGAAGCCTATAATATAATCTGAGCATGGGCTTCCGGCTCTGGCCTCACGGACTGCATAGTAAGCAAAATGAATCGACGGTTGCACAAGATTCTCAACCTGCAAGAGATATAGAAAGACAATTTTCACTGCAGCCATTACTTCGCAAAAACACAAATACTGATGATAAAATGCATATTCACCCTTTGGTATCCTGCATATGCATGATACTTAATCAGCAGCATCTCTCAGTCTTTTACGTGATCCACCACCTTTCGTTGGAGCTGCTGGCCGCATACGGATGAGGCGTTCTTGGTTCGAAGGTGGCAGCTTTCCTTCACTCCATTCCTTGTGCCACACGTCAAAGCAGGTTGTCAAGACTCCGCATATTACATGCCTCGGGCGCATACACAGGTAGATAGGCGCATCACCATCGCACTCGGAGCAGTAGTACGCCGTCGTGTGGGGCTTCGCGACCTGCATCAGAGAGCAAACTTTACACGCACGCTGACGCCACTTCGGCTGCGTATCTCGGCTCCTCCATTCATCCACCAACTGTGCTACATGAGTAGAAGCGTGCCCCGCCACACCAGAACCCGACGTACCGGCGATCTGCTCCCTCTCACAAAACGTGTTTCCGTCGAACATGTCCACTTCTTGGAGCTGGGTGAGCTGCAAGTGGAGGCGCTTCATGAATTTAACGTGCGTCAACGGCTTTGAAGTCTTGTGCTTGTGGTAGGCCTTGTGTACAATGTAGCTGTTCACTATAGCGATATCAATAAGCCCCAGCACGAGGCTCTTGTAATACTTCCGAAAAGTCACAGCCCGCTGGAGGGAGTATCTTGAATAATAAGTATAAGGTATCATGAATATGCAGCATACGCACTGAATCGCATTGTAAGACATACCCGTTTCGTTGTTCTCTTCAACAGACTCAACGCTGGAATACCCTTCGTCCCCCGATTCAATATTTTCTTCGTCACCTTCAAGAGGACCTGGCAACACGATGGGGGGGTTGAGCGACGACTTGAGTAACGGGTTCAGCTACTGGCACTGGCGCTTTTTCTTCATCAGATATGGCGTCGTCAACTATAGTGCATTCACAAGCGTTAGACTGCATCAATATGCATGTGGTCGATGAAATATTCAGGATAGCGTACGGGCTTCTTCGGGCGGATGTACTGCATGAGCTAATGCATAATGCTAGTTAGTTATCCTGTATATCCTGCATATCATATCATGAATATGCAACTGGTACTCACATGAGCGGCGACGTTTCTGCTTGTCCGTGGCAGGCGGCTTGGGCACTTTTCGAGTTCGCTTCACTTGCGTTTGTCGCGTCAAAGGCTGCTGAGTACCTGAAGAAGGTTGAAGTGGAGACGTGGGCTGGGTGGTGGCCGCTTGAACGGGTGGTGATCTTGTTGTGGCAGCAGGATCAGCAGGAGGTGCTAATGGCATCTGGAATGGTCCAGAACCGGTAGACGAAGACTTTTTGGAAGCTGTAACATCATACAAACAATTGGTTAGACTGTGTAGCCAGCAATCGCCACCATCTCGCTTACCACCACTGTAGTACTCCAACAGCTCTTCCTCCCCAAGAAAAAAGTCGATGCCTTTTGTGCCGTTAAGATGTCCGCCAGGGCGAACGTACTTCCATCTCGGATCGAAGTCCTTCGCTCGCGGTCTTACAGATGTCCATCCCTGCTTCTTCAGCTCCTTCCACGCCACACCAAACGGGATGTTTTGACTGCTCACGTACTTGCCTCGGACAGCAACCATTTGATGCAGAGAGCCTGGCTCCGTTCTTTTCCAGCGCGAATTCTCGAATGAGTGGCTGGAGAGGGAGCGAAAAAATTACCTTTGGAAAATAATGTAAAACTCATGTTTACCACATAAACTTTTATATCTTATATTCAAATTTAGAGAAATATTATCGGTCTCGTCGCTTGTTATGTGTATCTTCTATGCTACCACACGTACAGAGAGCCTGCACTTGTAGGGTTCTTTTTGACTTAGATTTTGTATAGCCGAGGATTTGAAAAAAAGTAACTATACAAACTTTAAGTCATATTTGAGCTTAACCTGCATTATGCAGGCTAAGCATTTTTGAAAAGCTGCATATGCAGGCTCCCGGTTTGAAGGGGTTAAAACAGATACTGTAAAAATCAAAAAGTACTAGCAGCCCAATTCTCTAGATTATTGCGGAGTTTTATTCTCATTAAAAACGCCATATATTGGGAGGCCCTGACCAACAGGACTGGTGTGCTGAAGAATGATAAGAATGCTACAAGCCTGGTCCTGCAGAGTACCGCTTATCCATACGATAGTTTAAAGAATCTTGATATAATTCATTTCGAAACACAACCACATAGTCGTCTACTTGGGGGAGGACTACTCTCAACAAGCAGAAACTAGCGGTACATCTTCGGCCAAGGCCTTAGCCTTCAGTAGAACACATCCCCCCACAGTGAAGTGGTCTGCGTCCGTCCGTTAATCCGTCCGTAACGGGCCTGTTCTGTTAGCATGAACCTTGTCTCGCGCATGGCCATACTCCACCTGTTCGGTGCTATATCTTCTCATCCCTTTGACTGCACCTTTCTTCGTGACTCGGCTTGACTATGAAAAAATAGCACTCTTGACCATGAATAGGGTTAATAAATGTAACGCAAATACGTGCGTTCTACTGGCTCAGCGAAGGCGACCCCAATTGGCTAAAACCGCATTATGTGTTGAACACACTGTATGTGGTTACACCACTTAAATGCACCGTTTAAATTTAATTTTGCTCTAAAATTTCGCCTCGTAGCGCCTCTCGAAGCAAAGGGCGCTGCCTGTGAGCGCGTTAGTTAGCATAAGTACAAGGCGCCGATGAGCACACACGTAATATTTCGTCGTAGCATCTATTAAAAAACGTGTAGGCTTTGGTGGCATATGTTGCGGCTTGAATCGAAACTTTCGTACTTATTGGCTATAATATAATGTGTTTTAGGCTTCGTAGTACTTGCGTCAAAAAAGTACTAATGAGATTGGTTTCCATAGTATTATTCAAAAGTTCTTTCATATTTTGTTTGCACTTATTGGTAGTAGTAGTACACGCACATAATATATTAGCGCTGGACAAACAGACAATACTACTAGTAATATATAGAACTACCGTCTTACCGCGCACCAGCCGCCTAGGAGCTAAAAACGAGAGCATATATTTTAAATGGCGCGAGGTGCCCTCGATTTGAACGCTTTACTTAAAAGAACGAACCCCTAAAATGCAACCAGGTGCTGTGGGAAAAGCGCCTGCGCCAACCATTCTCAGCAGCCTCTTTACAGGCTTTCTTGCTATTCGAATACCAAGTTTGACCGCTCGTAACTTCCATCGCCATTTTTCAAAATACATTCTTCTGCAACTGTCCACAACGTTCGTTCGCCGAAACAAAAGCGCGCCAGTTACAGTCTTCAGTTCAAATTCAACGTCGCACGTAAGTACAAGCCAAATAAGAACGGTTGCGGATACCACGCGCTTTCTAAAAAGCACAAAATTTCGCCGTCCATGGTACGCGATTGGATCCAAAACATCGACAAACTACAGCAAGTATCGAAAAACCGCCAAGTCGGCACACGCCTGGTATGCCGAATGCCGGGAGCTGGGTGCAAAGCAAAGCACCACGACCTCGAGAAGCAGCTTCACGGCTGGAAAGTCAGTCGAAATACAAGGGGTTTGCAGGTCAAAGACAAATACATTCGACTTAATGCACTGAATATTTATCGCTCCATGAGCAACGATACAGACTCGCAACGTCAGCCTTTTGCCGCTTCTTCGGGGTGGTTCGACCGCTTTAAGCAGAGGAAAAATCTTGTGTCACGGCGACATACCACCACAAGGACGCATCCGGGCGACGCGAAAAACGTATGTCTGGCGTTTATTAAAAACGCACAGAAAATTATCAGAAACCACAAATTTCAGCGACAAAATATTATAAACATGGATCAAGTCCCGACGTATTTTAATACAGAGTCAAAACACACAATTACTACTCGAGGTACCAGAGAAGTCCTTCTTCGAAAAGGCGACAGCAGCCACAAACGATACTGGTGAGGGAAAGTTTCTGGCGCCACATGATTTCTTCTCAAAACTTAAAAGAAAACCAGCTGTCTGAGAAGGCGTTCTTGTTGATGTCAACCCCGCTGGAATGTGGAATGACACAATTCTTCTTGATCACGTCAAAGCAGTCATTTGCAGAAGAAAGAAATCACAGTTTTATCGACAGCCAGTACTCTATATTATCGACTCTTACGCTTCTCAAGTTACGCTGTTTAACGAGAAGCTTCTACAGAGCTACTACATCTTCGTTTTACTGGTTCCACCGAATTAAACCGATCAGCTGCAGCCCTTGGATGTCGCGGTCAACCGTGGTTTTCAGGCTTACTACACTAACAAGTTCGACGAGTACATCGGCCGAGCACTGGACGACAAGAGCCTCCAAGCAAAGGTGGAAACCCAAAAGTACCGCACAACTCGGTAGTGTCCCAGTGGATGCTGAAGTGGATATCTACCAAGGAGCTGGTTGAGATCAAGAAGGCTTTTAGGGTGTGCGGGATTGTGCCAAATTCTGAGCTCGACAAAGAGGATCTACATCCTCCGCTGAAGGGGTTCCTCTTTTCAAACATCGACATGAATGAGTGACATGTCCGCTATCAGCACCTGATCCACAATGATGACAACGCAACGACAGAGTGGAGATATGCCTCCAACCGCCAGCTTGGTATCTGCCAGAAGACTGCGGGTCAAGCCTATTTTGCTGGCTTCGGCACTCCCTAGCGAGTTCTGTAGCTGATTACGTCTAGACGAGCTACATGCTAGAACTGGGTGAGCTGGAAGGGCTAGTCGACGACGACTAACTCGATTTGTAACAGAGATAAGGACGGGAACGAGCTTGAACGTTTTGCCGCAGCTCGACTGCACAATTGCAACATTCAGGTAAATTCACTCGATGATGAGTGCAAGATCATATCTACGTATACATACTCTGCTGTTGATGCTTCGAGAACGGTTTGTATTGCTCGACTTGGCTCCTATTTTGCGTTGAAGGTGGATGACATGCATGTTTTAACTTTAATGAAACCTGCTTTAGTTTTCTTCTGGTTTTAGCAAAGGCACTGCAATAGAACGCCTACTCGTTACATAGGAATACAACGTCCACTGGGCTGTCTATTTTAATTGTACACCTAGGCGACTGGTACGCGGTAAGACGGTAGCATTTTTTTATGGTCCCCCACACCACTCGCCGGCGCGAAAAAAAACGTATTCCTTTGTATTTGCGTGTATGGGCGACATTTAGAGAGTGTGCACACTTTCCAACATGATACGTAGAGTAGATTCGAGGCACTGGGAGGACTGTTTGTAATATAAATTTAGCGCGGAAATACGTGATTAAACAAGATCACGAAACACGGAGGATGACCGAGACAGGCTATATACACGATGGGATAGAAGAAATAGCTTGGAATACGGAAGGGCACGGGCGATAGAAGAATAGACCACGAACCACGGAAGAGCACACAGGCATGAAAATTACGAAGCGGCACGAAGAGACGACAGCGGGTGAGAGCTGAAAAATGGACACACCAACATAATGAAAAGCAGGGCCACGGAATCGTACGCACGTTCTAGCCACGGTGGAACCGGTAGCTGTGCGAGTGCACGGAAATGAATTATAGCACAGCACCACTAAAGAACATGGCGCACGGTCACACGGACCAGGCCTGAAGTCACGAAATACCAGAAAGGGAGAAGTTACGAGCATTGAAACACAATATCAGGGTAGAGCCGAGCCATGGAGCACGACCATGAATGAATATGGACCACAAAACCTGTAAAACCCACGCAAGCCCTTGTGAGCCCAGAATAGCTAGCAGCCACGAAAGAGGGCCATGTACGCAAGAATGAAGCGAAAAGCGATAATGTATAACCACTAAGCTGTGTTAAAAACGGGTGAATAGAGAACTAGAAAGCAACGAAAGACACGAAAACGCACGGGCCATGGCAAAGCGTGTAGACCAGCCTGTAGTACCGAGAAGCGAAAGCGTATGACACATCGGTGTCGTACAGAGCCACATGATAGAACGGAATGGCAAGTGACTCAAGTACACGAAATCATACCGCACTGGGGTCGACGAATGCACATGGAGCCTCGAACACAAAACAATACACGCCACCACGAAATACTTAAGGCTGCAACCACCTCACCTAAAAAAACACGGAACATGATACAAATGTAGAACCTGAGCTCGCTGAGTCACGGAGGAAAATATTACATTCGAACCGGTTTGCGCGGACGGCGGGCCAGCCATGAAATCCCTGGAGAATACATAGGGGGAAAACGCCACGCCGCAAAGCATGATACAACGGTAAACTACGACACGACAAACACGTATAATAGACATACACTATGATACCACTTAAGCACAGCTAGTATAACCACGCCACGACACCACGAAAGTACGTCGACGTCAAACGGGCGACGGAACAACACGACTGTGTAAAGGCACCAACACCACGAAATAGCACCGATGCCGCCAATAGGAGGCCAACGGTCACGATATGGTACGTACCACGAAACCAGTGCAGCCCACATAAACGTTTGAGAACAGAGAATAGCTAGCAGCCACGAAAGAAGACGTACTAAAGAGAATTAAGCCTAAAGAGAGGGCGCATAACCACTAAGCAGTGTGTGTTCCACGGATGAGCAGGAAACCACGAAGCCAGGAAAGCACGGAAGAGCACCCGCCATTGAAGAACATGACATCCAACCTGAAGTACGGGGGTGACGGATTCATACCAAACCACGATATTATACGGGTCCACATGAAACTACGGAATAGTAAGTGGTTAAGTACACGAAGCCAAGACGCTCACAAAGCACACGACACGTAGAAGCACTAAAAATTTCAGGCACCTCATCTCCAACAAACCCTGTCACTCCGCCGCATAGCGGCGGCGGTCAGCTAGTCCTAATCTATCAATGCTAGCACGGTGTCCGTCCGTCCGTCACACGAAACGCTCAGATTTTTGAGACTTCCCATTGGCTGCCGAGCGTAGCGAAGGCGGCTTTGATTGGTTAAAACTGAATAATGTAGCTTCCATCAGTAAACTTATGTGGTTCACAGAGCACATATGGAGATTTGCACAAGACTATCCATTATCCGAAGGCGGCATCATTTTTGTATTAATTCGAAGTACTTACTATTTTAATAATGTACGTTGCTTTTAATATTTGAGTGCTAAACAGAAAGAGCTACTTTTTCTCTAATGAAATAGCCCCTAAAGACGCTTCCTAAGCTGCAAGGTGCTTAGCGTATACGTGTTTTCGAGCTCATACTATAATATACGTAATACCTTGTACTTAATAGTTTCTACAAGTTGCAATGACTTTAACCCCTTCAACCCGGCTGATTTTCCACACCCTAACGCTGTATATACATCGCATTAACATATAGGAAATTGTATACAAACGCGGGAAAGGATTAGAAGATAGGCGGGTAAAAAATGATCAAGTCATCTCGAGCACTGATTAAGCTGTATATCATGGGGGGATTGCGCTGTATATATACAGCTTGTAGTGTGGTGTGTGCCACTTGGGTAGCAGAAAAAATCTCTAATAATGTGAAAAACGTGTCACAAACAGGGCGTCTGCACTGGCATACTGAAATGCAGTGCCATTTTCCTGCAATCAACTGATGTCGAGACTGCCGTGCATACAAACTTTCTAACATACTCCTTGTCATCAAACAAGTGCATCCACACACCTCCAAAACGTGGATAAAGACGGGATGGCAGTCGCAACATCAAGAGAGACGCAAATAGTGAAGCTACTTCATTGATCACACAGAATTTATCCTGGGGAGGCAGCAGCGGCACGGCGGCGCTTGGCAGGAGACTTGCCAGGAGATCCTGTAGTCTTTGCCGCGCGCACTCGGATCTTACCCTTCTTGTGCGCTGGAATTTCAGCGCCGTTCTTGTATTCATTGTGCCACACGTCCCAACAGCTCTTGATTGTACCCTTCATTGACCACTTCGGCTTCGTGCACAAGTATATTGGCCCCGGAAAGTCACACCCATCGCAATAGTACGTTGTGGTGGCCCCCCTCTTGCCATCTTCGGTCAAAATTGTGCATACCTTGCAGTTCTTCTGCACTCGCTTCCTCTGTCCGGAATGGTCTCGCCACTCTTCATTTAGTTTCGGCACGTGTCCGCTGGCATCGACGGACTCGCGCTCCTCGACTGAAGTGTAGCCATCTGTATATACACGTTAATGTAAACAGTATATACAGCATGTCAACCAAATAGTGCTTACCTGTGCTGAAAGTGTTCTCTTCGTACATATCCTCCACGGAAAGTGTGATCAGTTGCTTGTGCAGCTTGCACATGTATTGCTCGAATCTGCCTCTGCTTGCAATATGCTTTGTGCACGATGTACCCGTTTGTAATCGCGAGATCAACCAGCCCCAGGAACAGTGACTTATAGTATTTCCGGAATGTGATCGAGCGCTGAACGGAGTACCGCTGCAGGCGGAGTTGATCGTGCACATCAACTCCGCCCATAAACTTATGGTAGTCCTTGATGACCTTGGGGCACGCCACTTCATTCTGTTCTTCGGTCTTCTCCCTTCTAACCACACGGTCTAGCTCCAGGTTTCCACCAACCGATAGAAAATGCACAGGTTTGCTGTCCCACCAGCATATCGAAGTCATCTATTTTACATGCTTAGACCGAGCAAACGTGAGCGCTCCTCTCGGGATACCCTTCGGCCTAGTCTTCTTGCTAGACACCACCGCCTTGCAGAAGCCTCTTCTGTTTGTCATGATTGTACCAATTGTGTAAAACCCCATGAGCAGTAGCTGTACGGCTAGCACAATAGACGTGTAGAACCGATCGACAACGACAAGTCGCATCGCTTTCTCTGGAGGCTTATCTCCAAACACAGCTTTCAGGTTACGAACAACGGCAGCAGGGCCGGACTTCATGTCCACAGCACCTGACTCAGCAATGTGCTGCTTCTTGCCGCAGTACACCTCGAAGCTGTACATTGTCACACAGCATACAGATCATAAGTAAACGCATACAGCAGAACGAAGACAGCATTCTTACCGAATACAATAAGCGGACACAGCACAACAGAGCATGAAAAGCTTTGTACCCCATTTGTGGGGTTTATCTTTCATGTACACTCTTGTCCGATTGAACGAGCTTCTATTCGGTAGCATGGCTTCATCAAACGAAAGCTCTGCTGGAGGATTGAAGTACTGCACAAACGTCTGCTGCAACACGTTCACTACAGAGCGAATTTTCCATACGCGATCGGTTTTTGCACGTGGGTCTTGGTTGCTCGTGAAGTGGAGATTTTGAGTGAGTTGCATGAATCGATCTCGTGAGAGAAATTTCCCAAATGTGCCTCTTGAAAGTGCCCCTTGCTCTGACAGCCTCCAGTGGTTCGCTAGTTTTTCGCGATTTGGCATGATTGTTCGAGCTATCAACAGGCCGATGTAGACGCACAGCTCGTGCGGCATTATCGGCTTCACCGAATGGAACTCTTGGCGTACATCTCGTCTTGTCTTGTTCTTTTCTTGTTGTACTGCGCGTCCAGCTCGTCGCGCCTTCTGTGCTTGCTGTTCCTTTCTCTCAAAATAGGCATCCACACGGGCATCTAGCTGCTCATGCATGTAAAGATTGCTGCACTCTGCTATATGCTGCCACAGCGCCACTGGGATGAACATGAAGAATAGTGCGATAGGCGACGCTCCACGCTTCAAAGCCTCTTCAGTCGGTCCACCGCGTTCACCCATCAGATCTGGATTCTCGTCGCTAGATGGAACAGGAGTGTACGGTGTTTGCAGATATTGCGTGACATTGGGCGTCTCGGGATCATGCCATCCAGTAGTACCGAGATCTTTCAGTGCAGGTCCGATGATATCACCAGCCAGAACGCTGTCGTGGCCACCGATTGAGTTGAGAAAACTGTCTGCAAAATGGCGTTCTTCCTTTGCATACATGTCATCGTCCTCTTCATCGATCGTATCTGATCCTGACGAGTCAGCGTCACTGACATCCAAATCGTCCAGGTCTATCTCCTCTGATTCGGTCCCCGAGTCTAGCACACAGTAGGTATCATCACTGCCTTCAGGTGCGTTCAAGTCGTCGTCACCGTCACCTAGCATGTCAACGACGTCGTGGGTACCTAATACACCAAATAATACA